TTTGTCGACCACTGTAGCATCGGCGGGTTTGGCGGGATTATCACCTGCGAGAGCGGCGGTGTAGGAAAGTCTTGAGGCCATTATCCTGCTTCAGACAAGCACTGCAGAGTACCTGTCACGTGAAGGAAAAAGCACCTAAGGAGGATTAGCGCTGCAGAGCACCTGACGCGTGAAGGAAGGAGCAAACGCCGAGCAGAGGACTGCCAAAATGACGCACGAAGAAGACACAGGTGGTACGCGAGCCCTTTTCCAGCTAGCACGAGATGCCGCAGAGGCCGAGCCTGACAAACCTTTCAACTACGAGACGACGAATCGTGAGCAGCTGCTTCAGGATGAAGATGAAGACGAAGACAAAAGCGACGAGAAGGACGAGCGCGGAGAAGAGAAATGCAATGAATTGGAAACGAGGGTTCGCCATAGAGGCGAAACCCTAGCAGAGCGTGAGTGACGCTGGCGAAGCGGACTCTCATCATGGGGCATAGCGCATGGAAAATCAGTATTTGGGCCTCTGCCAAATACCGATTTCTTTTAATATATATATATATATATATAGTTCTCACATTACACATATATATATATATATATATATATATATAGTGTAATAATCACATCGAGGTGCAATTTATTTTATAAAAAGTTGGTGTTAGTGTTATTTTTGATGTAATATTAATGAAGTTTGATATATAAATAATATTAAAGTTTAGGTTTTAGATATATAAATACATAAAACTTGTGCGGTAGGTGTTTAAAAATATTCCATAACTTAGTTGTTTTGCTACATCTAGTCCCCCTATACAAAGGTTAAAATGACTTTTTAAAGGCATTTTAACATAGGTCTATAAATCAAATCTTTTACTTGAATATTTTGGCCACCTTCAATTACTTGTCAACTCCAATTCATTCAATTCTTATCCTTTTGAGAGTGGGATCATTGTGACCACTATTCACGAGCTAACTCTAGGTCACTCTATCCTACTTCTTATGGGTGAGGGATTGTCATGATAGCTCAAATTATTCTATAGCCCTTAATTAGTATTGTGCCAATTGTAGGACATTCAATTATTACAATTAATTTTGTCCTCATCTATGTAAGGAAAAAAATATTATCTATGTGTGAACTCACTTAGTTTAGATTAGAGATGCTCGGAAAAAAAAATGAGAATCTCCCATGCCTTAGCACCTTTCTTCCCGAGACACATGTAATATTGGCTCCATTCTTTTGAGTCTTTTACCAAGCCTTGGCTAATCATCTTCCATAAGAAATTTGGTCTCTTGTATGTAATCGATCCAATTCTTCCTACTAAGTATGTATTGATAATTTTTAGAGTGGAGATGATGAATAAGTTTTCTCTTTTATTATCATATTTTTTTCACATGCAACTAGAGCCGGCAAAACGACTCATTGTTCGCGACCAGCTCGTATGTAACTCGTTAAGTAGCTCGTGCTCGATTCATTCGCTAAGTAAATGAGCCAAACATAATACAAAGTTTTGTCATATTTAGCTCGCTAAGCAAACGAGCCGAACATAAATAAATCCTTCTTGTTCAAAATATAAAGAAGCAGAACACGAGTGTCATTTTTTAACGAGCCGAACCCGAGATGTTCTGCTCGGTTACAACCCTACATGCAACATATAGAATATTTCTCAATATTGATATAATAATAATGAATTTAAATTATTTTTCTGTGACATGAATTACTTCATTCCGTAGAAAAGTTTGAATTTTTTTTGGGAAAATTGGGAGCCAAGCACATTCATTTCAATAAATAAAATACTAAATAAAAAATTACATAAAAGCAGCAATTCGAGAACATCTGCCGAACCAGTTAAGTATATGAATCCATGTTGACAGCCTTCAGACATTAATTTATTTAGACAACAATGTTTTTAATTTCATGGTCAACTCATGAACAGATCTTCCAGAGGAATAAGTGGGAATAATACTGTATTATTGTCACCATAATGTTCAATTAAAATAAGCCCATAACAACAGACCCACGGTTTTCATTCCCTCCTAAAGCCTCACTCTTCCGTTATTCCTCCTCGGACCAACGATGGATGAGATGTACAGCCTACCACCGGCCTCCAATTTCACGGCGGCGGAAGAACACCCTAGACTCTCATCGCCGCCGCCGGCTACGGCGCCGTTGCGGCCGCAGAAGAAGAAATGAAAACCAGAATTGCTTCTCATCCCCGCTATCCCCATCTACTCGAAGCCTCCATCTACTCGAAGCCAACATCGACTGCCAAAAGGTCAAATCTTGCAATCAATTTTTCCCACCTCACTGAAACAGAGATTCAAAAATCTGTGATCTGAGTTTTTAAAAAAAAATCATTTTTTTTTATAATTGAAGTTGGGAGCGCCGCCGGACATAGTATCGCTGCTCGAAGATATACGGCGGGAGAACGCCGGCGGCGAAAGGGGCGCCGCGTCCAGCCTTATGTTGGGATCGGATCCCGAGCTGGATGAGTTTATGGTTTGCTTTTTTTGAAGTAAAAGAAGAAAAAAAAAAAGGTTTTTTTGAAGGTAATTATTGTTTAATGCGTTGTTGCGGGATGCAGGAGATGTACTGCGATGTATTGGTGAAGTATAGGAGAGATTTGGAGCGGCCGTTTGATGAAGCTACTGCTTTTCTGAACACCATGGAGATTCAGCTTTCTGATCTCTGTAAGCCGACTTGCAGAGCTGCGCTTGGCCCTTACGTCTCCGGTAAGCAAGCTGTTCTTTCTCTTTCTATTTCTATTATTGCGTTGGGTTCAATGTGGGAAGAGAGAGAGAATCATGAGAATGCGATAGTTATGGCAACACTCTTCGGCCATGCAGTGGAAATGAAGCTCCTTTGCTCTATTTGTCGCTGCTCGAGCTATTCATTTTTGTCTTATTTTGCCATTTTACAATCTTTAGCTTCCAAGTTTCTGGTTTTTGGGGCGAAATTTATGAATTTGATCCATACCTCAGATTCATAATAACAGTGCTTCAGAATATTCTGATACGTTCTGAATAAAATACAGTAGATTTTCTTGGAAGCCAGTTATGAGTAAATCTTCTGTCAAATAAAATTATGTTTTTTAAAAATTTGAATTTTGATATTATGTTTTGATTATTTGTATTTAATTAAATATATTATGTTCGTATCGCTGTGTAGCTACAGGAACTATTAATTGTTTCGTTGTTTTAAAAAAATAATATATATATATA